CCATCCCCATTGTCCCCATCCTCATCGTCCCCATCATCTCCACCTCCACCATCCCCATCGTCCCCATCTCCACCATCCCCATTGTCCCCATCCTCATCGTCCCCATCATCTCCACCTCCACCATCTCCAGCGTCCCCATCTCCACCATCCCCATTGTCCCCATCCCCATCGTCCCCATCATCTCCACCTCCACCATCTCCAGCGTCCCCACCTCCACCATCTCCAGCGGTCCCCCCCTTCACATCCGATCTCTTGTCCCCGTGTCCCCATCCCCCAGGCGCACCTTGTCCTCCTCACGCACGACGTACTGGGCCACCTTGAAGGAGCTGAGGTACTCGTTCATGTTCTGCACGTCGGCATCGTCGGTGGCATCCTGGTTGCGGTCGAGCAGCCGGGCGATGGCCTCGTTGTCGTAGTGGATGACGCTACTGTCCTCCTCCTTGTTCTCCCCTGCGCCGGCGACACGCTGCTGACACGGCCTGACTCGGTCCGGCAGGGCCTGGCACGGCTCAACATGGCCTTGGCACGCTCCAACACGGCCCAACGCGGCCTGACATGACCTAGTACGGCCCAGCGCCGCCCGACATGGTCCAGCACGGCCCAACACGGCTCAACACGGCCCAGCATGGCCCAACGCGGCCTGACATGGCCCAACAGAGTCCAACATGGCCCAACACAGCCTGACACGGCCCAACACGGCCCGACACGGCCTGACACGGCCTGACACGGCCCAACAGAGTCCAGCATGACCCAACATGGTCCCACATGGTCCAACATGGCCCAACACAGCCTGACACGGCCCAACACAGCCTGACACGGCCCAACACAGCCTGACACGGCCCAACACAGCCTGACACGGCCCAACACGGCCCGACACGGCCTGACACGGCCTGACACGGCCCAACAGAGTCCAACATGGCCCAACATGGTCCCACATGGTCCAACATGGCCCCACACAGCCCAGCATGGCCCAACGTGGTCCAGCACAACCCAACGCAGCCTGACACGGCCCAACAGAGTCCAGCATGGCCCAACATGGTCCCACATGGTCCAACATGGCCCCACACAGCCCAGCATGGCCCAACGTGGTCCAGCACAACCCAACGCAGCCTGACACGGCCCAACAGAGTCCAACATGGCCCAACATGGTCCCACATGGTCCAACATGGCCCCACACAGCCCAGCATGGCCCAACATGGTCCAGCACAGCCCAACACGGCCTGACACGGCCCAACAGAGTCCAGCATGGCCCAACATGGTCCCACATGGTCCAACATGGCCCAACACAGCCTGACACGGCCCAACACAGCCTGACACGGCCCAACACGGCCCGACACGGCCTGACACGGCCTGACACGGCCCAACAGAGTCCAACATGGCCCAACACAGCCTGACACGGCCCAACACAGCCTGACACGGCCCAACACAGCCTGACACGGCCCAACACGGCCCGACACGGCCTGACACGGCCTGACACGGCCCAACAGAGTCCAACATGGCCCAACATGGTCCCACATGGTCCAACATGGCCCCACACAGCCCAGCATGGCCCAACGTGGTCCAGCACAACCCAACGCAGCCTGACACGGCCCAACAGAGTCCAACATGGCCCAACACAGCCTGACACGGCCCAACACGGCCCGACACGGCCTGACACGGCCTGACACGGCCCAACAGAGTCCAGCATGGCCCAACATGGTCCCACATGGTCCAACATGGCCCAACACAGCCTGACACGGCCCAACACGGCCCGACACGGCCTGACACGGCCTGACACGGCCCAACAGAGTCCAGCATGACCCAACATGGTCCCACATGGTCCAACATGGCCCCACACAGCCCAGCATGGCCCAACGTGGTCCAGCACAACCCAACGCAGCCTGACACGGCCCAACAGAGTCCAACATGGCCCAACACAGCCTGACACGGCCCAACACGGCCCGACACGGCCTGACACGGCCTGACACGGCCCAACAGAGTCCAGCATGGCCCAACATGGTCCCACATGGTCCAACATGGCCCAACACAGCCTGACACGGCCCAACACAGCCTGACACGGCCCAACACGGCCCGACACGGCCTGACACGGCCTGACACGGCCCAACAGAGTCCAACATGGCCCAACACAGCCTGACACGGCCCAACACAGCCTGACACGGCCCAACACGGCCCGACACGGCCTGACACGGCCTGACACGGCCCAACAGAGTCCAGCATGGCCCAACATGGTCCCACATGGTCCAACATGGCCCAACACAGCCTGACACGGCCCAACACAGCCTGACACGGCCCAACACGGCCCGACACGGCCTGACACGGCCTGACACGGCCCAACAGAGTCCAACATGGCCCAACACAGCCTGACACGGCCCAACACAGCCTGACACGGCCCAACACGGCCCGACACGGCCTGACACGGCCTGACACGGCCCAACAGAGTCCAACATGGCCCAACACAGCCTGACACGGCCCAACACAGCCTGACACGGCCCAACACGGCCCGACACGGCCTGACACGGCCTGACACGGCCCAACAGAGTCCAACATGGCCCAACACAGCCTGACACGGCCCAACACGGCCCGACACGGCCTGACACGGCCTGACACGGCCCAACAGAGTCCAGCATGACCCAACATGGTCCCACATGGTCCAACATGGCCCCACACAGCCCAGCATGGCCCAACATGGTCCAGCACAGCCCAACACGGCCTGACACGGCCCAGCATGGCCCAGCATGGCCTGACACGGCCCAACACGGCCCGACACGGCCTGACACGGCCTGACACGGCCCAACAGAGTCCAACATGGCCCAACATGGTCCCACATGGTCCAACATGGCCCCACACAGCCCAGCATGGCCCAACGTGGTCCAGCACAACCCAACGCAGCCTGACACGGCCCAACAGAGTCCAACATGGCCCAACATGGTCCCACATGGTCCAACATGGCCCCACACAGCCCAGCATGGCCCAACATGGTCCAGCACAGCCCAACACGGCCTGACACGGCCCAGCATGGCCCAGCATGGCCTGACACGGCCCAACACGGCCCGACACG